CCCTCCAGCTCCGCGTCCGAGTCGCCGCCGCCGCCATCCCCGTCCCCGTCCCCTTCCCCGTCCCGCGCAGGGGGCCGCCCCTCCGACTCCGCCGCCATCGCCGCCGCCGGCCCCGCCCGGAAGAACGGCACTTCCGGCACCCGGGCCTCCTGCACCATAGAGAACGGGCCCGGGCTGGAGCGTCGCCCCTGCGGTTGGCCGCCCCTCTGCTCTGTGGGAAGGCCTTTAGTGTGTCTCTGTGCTCCCCTCCGTCGCGGGGAGCGCGGGCACGTTGGGAGCGCCTTGCAGTATGTGATTGCATCGGTCCTGTCACGGGGCCCGCGCCCCGCTACACAGAGCTGACCTTTCCCAAGGCAGGAACATTTGTTACAGTCTCTTCCACTACCTGGAGCCTGGCCAGGTGGATGACTGCTGTGCCACTGACATTTTTTTGTGTGTTAGAAATACATATTTACACGCCAAGTACCACCCCACACAAAAGAAACCTTACCCCGTTACCAAAACCGCACCGGCACAGCCCGCGCACCTGTTTACAAAGGCCCACTGGACAACCAGACCCGTTACAATATTTGCTTCGCGCGCTACACAAGAAAACAAACTCTGGCCTCTCAGACCAGGCAGCCCCTTCCTTTCACCCCCATCCCGCAAGGTCACATACTCAGCTCACCTGTCATCCATGTCCAGCTCCTGCTGGAGGGCCCACTGCTGGTGTCACTGTCCTCAGTTCCATTTGTCTTTTCCTCTTCCTCACTGTCCCCACCCCCTTCCCCGCTAGGGTGAGGTTGGAAGATCCGAAATGCCCCTGGAAGTCCAAAAGGGTGGGGCAGCCATGCCCTGCATCCCTCCGGATCAGCCCCTACTAGGGACATCTGCTGACTACCTGTGGCTGGGTGCCAGGCCCGTGGCCTTGAGCCTCTACAGGCTGTATATAGCAGAGATGTGACAAGTAGACATGAAGCCAGGGTTTAGGATGATGTGCTGGGTTATGATGGAGTTCTGTGTGGATAGAGACATAATCCAGATGGTGGCAGGCACTGGGTGGGTTTGAATGCTGCGATGAGCCATGGGGGGTGGTTGCTGATGAGGGAGGATGACTACAAGGCATAGTTTGGGTGTTGAGGGTTTGTGCTTTGTCGATGGGAGGGTGGGAAAGGTTAATTCTTTAACATTTATAAAGCACATGGAAGTCGCCTAGTGGAAGTGCTAGAGAAGTGCAAAGTGTTATCCTAAATTTAACCTGTGGAAGCAAGATAAAACACTTGAGTTGTCATGAGAAGTTGCTGAATTCTGCTGCATACAAGGGTTGAAAAGTGTAATAGTGAACAGGGCACTGGACTGGGAGCCAGGACACCTGGGGCTTGATTCTCGTTGCCTGTGTAATCACTTTTATCAGTGCAAAGTGAGGTGACTGTAAAATGCTCCTTCACTTTGACATCAGAAGGGCCAGGCCTCCAAGGTCTATGTCTGGCTCTGCTACTAACCTTTTGTATGTAAGTCACTTCACCTCTCTGCATAGTGCCCTCCCCTGCCGTATGTCTGTTTAAACTGTACGTGCTTGGATACCTGAATCATCTCTATAGTACCTGGAACAACCGAGTGCTTACCTCAGCTGGTACTTCTAGGTACTACCATAAGACCTATTGTAATACTGTAACAAGTAAAACACACCAATAATGTAAGGAAAATCTGTTATGGACAATAGAACTATGAATAGTCACAGGAAGAAAGTGTAGAAAAGCACTTATAACAAGAGAAAGAAGGTAATCAGAAATAGCTAAACCAAGGAAGTAGGGTTATAGAATGCAGAGTAGTAAAACCAATATATATGTACAAGCAAAACAAAATGAAAGATAAAAAAAAATACAAATAGCAATGAGAAAAACAACATATGCTGGAAACGTGATAAAAAAAATTTAGAAAAATGTCCATACTACATGACACCATCACCAAAAACAGGATCAAACCATGTAGAGAAGCACAAATACCAAAACAAAACAACAACAAAACTCAACCAAACACATAACTATACAGGAAGAAAACCAAGCCAAATAAAAATAATTTAAGAAATGTCTTATTTTTCAGACTAAACTTGTACAGAGAAATATAAAGTGAATAAACAATATTTTTCTCACATACAGCATGCAGCTACATTGTGGAGCCAAATCAAACCACGGTGTTTCCAACCTCAGCCAGAAAGTCAGCCTACCTGATTAATATACAGTACACCCCCCAATTCTGGAGGGCTGATTTAATGGAAAAGGTAAGTGGAAATTTAACGGTAGAAGAAATGGGACAGGCATGAGCTATATGATTCTTCCTAGGTGACCTACAGGGACCATCTGAAAAGCCTGGAATACCTTCACCAGTGCAACCTCTGGAAGATCCTTGGCATAAAGTGGGAGGACTGTCGTACAAATGCCAGTGTCCTTACCGATGCTAACACCATGAGCATAGAAGTATCGATTATTCAACATCAGCTGCAGTGGACAAGACATTGTCCACTGCAACATGTCCTTTGTCCACAACCTAGCCAAGGACAAAGGACATGTTGGGGCCAGAGGAAATGCTTCAAGGACACCCTCATGGCAAACATTAAGAAGCATGGCATTGACACCACAAGTTGGGAAAAACTAGCCTAGGACAGGGCTACATGGTAACATCTTGTGAGAAAATGTGCATCTTACTTTGAGGAAACTGTCACCCTGGAGGCAGAAAAATGACAGAAACAGAAGGAAAGGAAACAAGACCGAGAAATCTGTGGTTCAGCCCTCCCTTTAACCACAACCTGTGGCATCTGCCAGAGAGTCTGTGGTTCTAGGATAGGCCTTCTTAGCCATCAGTGGACTCATCTACAACCCTTTATTTCACTCCTGGGGGTGATCATCCTTGACTGTGAGGGATCGCCGATGATATGGTTCTTCCACCAGTTGAGGATCTGGCTTATTATATCCTTAGGGTTATAAAAAACACAGTGACAAAAAATGGCTAGTATGAAAAAGGTGAGAGTAATATTATTGCCCAAATAAAAGGAAAGATAGAGGAAACATTAAATGGGTATTATTGATACCAGTCAGTGTTAGATCATCCTGTCTCTGTTATTATCAGATTATATCCTTCACTATGTTCCCTACTTTTAAAAGCCTGAAACAAAAGTGATTTCACCACCTGCTTAGAGAAACGATTGCAGTTTCATACACCACTTCATCAATATTTTCCTGATGTTCAAGGTAATTTTTTCTTTTCCTAATTTTATCCTTGTAACAGGGTGGACTTTCCCTTTAGGGAGCAACGGTTGCCCTGTTAAGACAGCCCAGCTGTGGGCATCTGGGTAAGAAGAGAATGTCCCATTGGGAGTTTTAAAAGCTGCAAGAGAAGTAATCAAGATTACTTGTCCTGGGGCTGGAGGAGAAAGCAGCTTCCCCTCCTAGTATCTGGGAGAAGATAAGGATTTTGGATTGTTTGGACTAATCTTTGCTTTGAAGAATGGCTAAGGAGCCTATAAGGGAATGGTTTCTGCAAAAGCCAGCTGGCTAAAGGACTCACTTAGAATCCTATTAGGCTCAGTGAATTGTATTAATTTGAGGCTGTTATTCTGAGGAAGGTTAAATTGGGCATTGACTTTGGCTTAGATATATTTTATATAACTCCTACCTTACTTGTGTTTATGTAGCCTTTGCCAGGCAGGTATACAGGTTTTTCTCGCTTTATGCTGTACATGTGTTCCGGGAAAATAGTGCATAACTCGAATTCGCATGAAGGGAACCCACTTTACAATATAACAAATAGGGTTACGTTGCAAGACCTCGACTGTACTGATCCCCAGACCCATTTCTACTACTTTTACAAGACAGTTTTGGTACTCACCAACAGCAGACAGTACACACAAGCACAGGGTGGTGGAAAATGTTACCATAATAGGGATGGCAACTGCAGAAACATGTTGCAGATAACGAGTGAGGAGCACAGGAGACTACATTTTGGTGCATATCGCTCCCACAATGCACCACACAAAGCAGCTGACTGTGGGCTTCCACCACACAGATTGCATAAGAGTGAATTTACCTTGCATATAACGAATTTTTGGTATAAAAAAGGTCATCGCATAAGAGCAAATTCTCCCATACAGAACCCGCATAAAGCGAGGGAAACCTGTGTTATATGAACACAGTTCAGATCAGAGGCTGCAGTAGCAGCTGAATTCCACTGGGTGGCAAAGAGAGGTAAGGAATGCATCTAGGGTTTGTCTCTAGCCCAGTGATTCTCAACTAGGGTGCCTTCAGATCCTTCCAAGGGTGATGCAGGGTGCCATGTAATATTAGCACTGTTAGGCATGCAAATATGATTCATAAGATAAACCCTAAGATTTCAAATAGGAACCCACAGTGTTAAAAACATTCTGACCTGTTGTGGTATTTCTGAATTCTTTGCAACAGAAGAATTATCCTATTATTATTTCAAAGTAAAAAAAAAGAGTGAAAACCAAAAACTGGCATTTTCCAAAGGGTGTCTTGATTCTAAAAAGGTTGAGAAACACTGCTCTAGTCTCTATAATTAACTGGTTTGACACCATATCACTGCCAGTATTGGCTACATGTGACAGTCTGGCTGAAATGAATACTGCAAGAAGTGGTGTACTGCATACAGTTCTGGGCACCATGCTTCAGGAAGTATGTGGAGAGGCTTGACAGGGTCCAAAGGAGGGCTACGCATATGGTTAGAGGTATGGAGAGCAGGCCATACAATGAGAAGCTGAGAGACATGGGTCTGTTCAGCCTGGAGAAGAGAAGACTCAGAGGGGACTGGGTGGCAGCCTATAAGTATAAAAGGGGTGCATATCAGGGACTGGGAGAACATCTGTTCACCAGGGCTCTCCAGGGGAAGACTAAGACTAAAGGTCATAAATTGCTAGAAGACTGCTTTAGATTAGACATAAGGAAAAACTTCTTTACAACTTGAGTGTCCAGGGTCTGGAATAGACTCCCCCCAGAGGTGGTACAATCACCTACTCTGGATATCTTCAAAAAACGTCTGGATGCACACCTTGCATGGACGACTGGTACTGCCTTAGTCAGGGGGGCACATGTCCCCCCAGCGACCAGTCAGCGATAAGGGGGAGATCCCCACCCCAGCCAATCTCGCTAATTAGGGGTCCCCCTTGGCCGATCCCACCGACTGGCAGATCGCTGTGGCTGATTGCTGAGGCCAGTGCTTGCAGGGGGGCCACTGGCGCTCTCACCTGCCCCCCCTGCCTGTTGCCTAAGCAGCAAGCCCGGCTGGTCAGGGGGTGAACTGGCGCTCTCAGGGGGTGCACGTGCACCCCCTACACATCGCCACTGATTTGACCCCAGCAGTCTTTCCTGCCCAAGCTCAGGGGGGCTGGACCTGATGATCTCAAGAGGTTCCTTCCAGCCCCTAGCATCTATGAATCTATGAATCCTTTCTGCTGTCTCATTCCTTGTCCCTTCAGCCTCTATCTCCCACATGCCGTTTCTCTTCACTCCCTCTTCAGGTTTCCTCTTGCACCCCCAACATTCTCTTCAAACATCCTTCTGTCTCCTTCGCTGCCACATTTACCTGGAGCCTCTTTCACTCCCTCCTCTCAAACCTGTCTGTATTGACAGAGCAACCAAACCTTACCTGGCCTACATGCAATGTGTATAAATTATATAGATCATGCATATATAATGTATTTATCATTTTAGAGCCACTGATTCCTCCTCCATCCTCTTTCAGTCCGCCCTCCGCGCCCAGGGCCTGTGTTACCCCTTCTAATCTTTTCATGCCTTCTCCATGTGTAATGCCATTTCTTTTCCTCCCTCTTACACCACAAGTAGCCTGGGCTCTTTCTGTTCCATCAGGTGCAAAACAAGGTACCAATTTCTTAAATCTTTTGGGTAATTTTTTTCCTCTTAGGCAGTCCACTTCTTCCTTTTATGTCCAAAGCATAAACTATAACATTTTCTGACATACTCCCAAAAGGGTTGAGTCAGGCCATAATAACTTGCTTTCAAAATTAAACATATCTTTTACTGTAAACATTTTTAAAGAAACTAGTTCCAAAGGATCCTTAGACAGGAGTGCCTATTTCCTACTGCTTTGCTTGCAGGACACCTGTGCTCAAATCTAGCAGAGCAGAATGATGCTCTTTTATACCTTGCCTAGGAACAGCTGCTAGAGGATGACTATGCAGTCTTTTAATCCTGAGTATATCAAGTTGATTTCAAAATGCCACATGCCACATTTGATTTCATAAACTGCCGAGCATATGCACTTCAGCCCTTGCATGGTCTGTAAAGCCTGGAGCTCACAAGGCACTTGAGAGCTTCCCAACTTTGGTGACGCATTTCTTTTTATAACTGGCAACCTCTGGCAGAATGCAGTGAATCTAAGTCCTCTGAGGAACCAGCGCAGGCTAACATAACTGCCGTTGTCAAAAAAAAAAATTAAAGTCATCACAGAGAACAGATTTTTGCTGAGATCTCCTTGTTTGGAACTTCCTGGAAGATCAATTTAAAAATTGATGGCACACAATTAATGTAATTATAGTCTGTTAAGTTTCCTTTGCAGAACATTCGGGATCTAGGAAATATCCGAATCTTGGCTGCTGCTCTTCTTCCTAATGGAACTACAAAAACCCTGGATTCTGGATTAACATGAACTGGCTCCTCTCAAGGGGGACTCTCGCCACATTTCATTTGCTTTGAAATATCCTTCAATCCAGGTTTTATCCTGATCCCAAGTAGATGCACAAACTGAAAGTAAAAAACAGCTTAGAAACAATGGCATGAAACAGGACCAATTTTCATGAGGTAAGTTTAAAAAAAGCTAAAGGAAACACTGCAGAAGGATTTCCTGGTTTGTGTAACAGCATGGCATGTAGTGATGCTCAAAAAGATGCAGAGCCATCTGCTAGTCTGAAAGGTTTGAAATGAGGAACAGGCACAGCAAACCTTAAGTCCTGGGTTGTTGTTGTGGAACAGATTAAGTCGATGTAGTTTTGGGAATGAAAAAAAAAATCAGTGTGTAGCTGAGAAGCACAGTTTTTGGTAATTTGGCAAGATGACGTTTCAAAGATGTATTAGTGCCATTTTAATGAGCTTGCTGCATTCCATAGGACAAAAAGAGGCAGTAATTTCTGAAATCTGCCTCAGATATTCTAAGGTATGTTCTGTGCCCAGTCAACTCAGCTTTCAGAGTAGTTACTAGGATATAACTATTTACTACTACTTCACAAAAGTTTCAACCTTGGGGTACTGCAAATTAGCAAGAAGCCCACTGCATCAGTATGTAATCACATGATACCATGCAGATGATAGAATTCAACATGCCAATGCTGCCTGTTTTCCCAAACAAAGACAACTTCAGCCTCATTAATTAATAATTAGGTTCTTAGTTTCACCAGTCAGCAAGGACAAGAAAAGGTTCATTGTATTAATAGAAGCCATGCTAAATTCTGTTCTGGATGAGTTATTTTAGATTTAGACTGTGTAAGGGAATATAGAATTTGCACTGCTATACATGTAACCTTTGGCTGCAGGATATGAAATGCATGGGCAAAAAGTACTTAAATAAAAATTTGGGGCGTTTATATACATGCTTAGGGAGGCGGCAGGGTGGAGGGGAGTGCTTTAAAGAGCCATTTTAATTAAAGTGCCCAGAGTGTCATATGTATCAGCATCCCTGCTCTGAAAAATGGCAACGGGGGCACTTTAACTAAAGCTCATTGAATAAGCTATAGTTAAAGTGCCCCCGCTGCCATTTTTCAGCATGGGGGCGCTGTTACACATGATGCTGGAGTCTGTTGGACCACGGTAATTACCACGTGCCAGAATGTGGTAATTACCATGCTCCAAGAGACTCGATTAATCAAGTCTGCTCTGGCGTGCTGTAATTACAGCGTTTCAGAGCAGCCTTGATGCACATAAAGTACAGAGCATCTAGCAGCTAATTCATCCTGTTAAAATGCTGAGGCAGGCCTCAGAATCATGAGATTGGCTAAAAAACATGAGGTTTTTTTGAAGTGCGCTTTGGGTTCTTTTTTGTCTTCTAGTTTCTGAGTTGCCAGGAGGAATTCATCAAGTTTTCAAGTTTCTCTCCACATCACTGAGGACTAGAAACAGAGTTTTGTTTTGTTTTTTAAATGAAATCTGAAACCCGCATGTATTTGCATAACAATAGGAGCTGGGGTTTTAAGAAAGTCATTTAATCCACCAACCATGCCCATAAAAGCAACAGGACTGGCAAGCTTTGCTAAATCTGGGCCCATTTTTTAAAAACTATAGCACAATATATATAGAACGTGTCTCCCTTTATTTGGAGAACATTAAAGTGTCAGATTTTCAGCACCCAGCAGTGTTCATGGAGAATAACAAGAGGATTGAGGCACTGAACACTTTTAAAAATACCACTTAATTTATGGGAGCTGAACTTTTTGAAAATCTGGCCCTAAACTTAGCATAAGGTACAAAACACTCTTCTGCTTACTCACTTCCTACAACCTGCCTGGTGGCATTACATCACTATGAAGATTTAACTAATCTGAGGTAAAATACTAGTTAAAAAGAGGCTGTTACACTAGTTAGCAGGTCATGTTAAAGGCTACTGGGAGTCTTGTGCGTGTGTATTGTGATAGTCCTTAATTACATGGTCACATACATTTTTCCCACGGTACCGTTGCCTCAGTCATTGTACAGAATGGATGGCGGTCTGGGAATAAGTCAAGATGTGTAGGAAGTGAGTCTGTGTGTCAGATCCTTGCTTTTTGCTATCTTCTGCTATAGTTATAGATCCCGGGTGCTGGGAAGTATGTAATGAACGAGGCAGGACCATTGATGGGGGAGAAAGGATAGATCATTTCATGGTTCAGGAAGTGGAGTGCCGTCCTGCAGACATAAATTGTATCCCCACCTCTTCTAGAGAGTACCTGTGTATTGCTGGGCAAGTAACTTAAATGAAAATGTTCACAGTTGGCCACTACATGTATGTTCTTGATTTTCTAGGTACTTAGTCACTATGAATACTGTATGTTAGCCTGGTTATTGACTTTTTTTTTGTATCACTTTATTGCTTTAACTCAACAGGAGGTTGTCTAGAAGCAATAGGTAGGTTAGCTACCTCTTAGCAAACACTAAAAAGTTGTTATGGGGTTATGCCTGTATGATTTGCTTTGATAATTTTATTTCTTCCTCAGCCAACATAGAAAATTGATTCGGAGCAGGACAGGAAAAGACTAGGGAACACAGAAGATCTCAGCCAGAATTAAATGAAGCAATAGAGAGAGAGAGAGATGGCCACTACAACAGTAGAACCAGACTGAGACAGAAAATACATTTTAGAGAAAAGGGAATTTCTTTGTTGAATTTACGGTATCTTTTCACAAATAGCCTGCACCTTTTCTCCCAAAAAACAACTGGGAAAAATTCATGTGTGTATTATATGTGTGAAAATGGGCTCCCTATGGGTCTGCAAATATGGTAGTGGTGGGGAGAGAGGGGAGTGATGACAGCATTAATTGCCACAGAGCAATGGCAATTAATGCCACTAACACTCAGTGCCCCACTCCCTGCTGCCCCCTCCATCAAATTTCCTGACCTGGGGGGGAACCTCCCCCTCCCCCCTCAAACTTCATATTGAATTGGGCCAGCATGTGGGGTTGGTTTGGCGTACAGGGTTTAACCCACTACATGGCCCTGGACCCAGCATTCTGGGTCTGATCCCATGAGTTAGCTCTGGAGTCATGTGCCAGGTTGGACTCAGTGTGTGGCTTCAGAGCAATCATGCAGTCCTGGACTTGGCATATGGCTCTGAAGCCAGCATGTGGGGTAATATCTGCCATGCAGCCCCAGTGCCAACGTGCTGGATCAGGCCTTGTTGTGTGGCCTCAGCCCCAGAGACCCCAGACCTCAGGTACTTACCTGTACTCCAGCATAAGATCTTTTATCCTTCTTGAGGCCTTCCAAATATAGGGTGTGTGTTAAATCTGGGGGCATTTTCTATGCAAGAAAACACAGTAATGTGTGAATTGGTCCATGGTCACTAGGCTAGGGCATCAGAGGTGGCTTGGATGTCGTCCTAGGATCATTATTCCTTTGTGCACTGTTGCCTCCAGAGACTGGCCTGTCTTAGTTTGAGGGGCCTCAGAAGAGCTTTAACCCTTTTATTTTGAGTAGCTACTTTTAACATATACCTGGCATGACCCACCCATTCTGCGACAGACTCACCAGTGTGTCAGCTCAGGACAAAGCAGCTTGGACAGAGCAGTGAATCTGGCCCTGAGTTTCAAAAAGCAAGTCTCTTTGGCAGGTACCACTGCCAGGTCTGACCCTTGTGTCTTGTGTGGTCACTCGCACCCCTGTGCAGGGCGTGTAAAACACTGCCAGAGTAGAATGTGCATGTTCTACCCCTCTGCTGTGCAGGGACAGGTCACGGGAGAAGCTCATGGTGCTAGGCTTGTAGGCAAGTACAGTTAGGGGAGGGCCTCACAGCGAGACACTAATTAGACCAAGTTAGGAGGTGCATTATTTTCCTCTAATTGGTGATGCTCCCTTCCTCCCCTATCACTTGGGGCTTTTTATGACACAAGTAACGAGTCATAACTAGGGATCCTGGTTTTCCCTGATAAAAAAATCTCAAATTCTCTGATAAACCTCCCCAAATCTGTAATTAAAATTAAAGGCTCCCCACAACCCCCCGGCCCTGCTTGTGCCCCTCACTACCACCACAACAGCCCCCCAGCCTTACTGGTGACTTTTACTCCCCCCACAGCCTCCCTCCCCAGCCCTGCTCATGCCCCTCACTCCCCCACAGGAGCCCCCCGGCTCTGCTTGTGCCTCTCACTCCCCACCCGGCCCACAGCTCCCACAGCCTTGCTGGTGCCCCTCGCCCCCCATGCACAGTCCCTGCTCCCCCAGCCCTGCAGGAGAAGGCCCCCAGCTGCCAGGGCTACGGACTCAGGTCCACAGATCCCTGCCCCTGCTCCCGCCTGCTGCCTGCTGCAGGCTTGGGAAGGGCGGCTCCTGCTGCCACACACACTCCCAGGGGGCAGGGTGGACCCGCGCCCCCCAGATCTGTACACAGGCCAAGCACAGTCTGTGGGCTCAAGCTCCCACCCTGCTTCCCTTCCCTGGGGCCTCCACAGCCCAGCAGGCACGACCCAGCGTGGCTGGGGACAGTGGGGTCATGCGGGGATCTCCTTGCCGCTGCGAGCTCCCCACCACTGCCCTGACAATGTGCCTTCTGCATGTGCCACTGCTTTGGGTACACAGGGGCAGTGAGGGGCGAACAGTGGCAAGCAACTTCTCCGTGCGGCTCTGGTGCTCCCTGCTGCGCCAGGTGGTGCCCGCTGGGCCACAGAGGCCCTGGGGGAAGGAAGCAGTGCGGAGTGAGCAGCAGCAAGCAGCTTCTCTGTGCAGGCCCACTGTTACCTGCCACCCTGCTTCCCTCCCCTGGGGCCTCTGCAGCCCAGGAGGCGCCACCCAGCACAGCAGGGAGCACCAGAGTTGTTCAGAAAAGCTTTTCACCACTGCTCACCCCGCAGTGCCCTGGCGACATGCCTCCTATGCGCGGGGCTGTGCCCCTTCAAAGCAGTGGCACATGCAGGGGGCACGTTGCCAGGGCAAGGGGGGGAGGGGGAGAGTTCGCAGAAGTGAGAAGATGCCTACGTGGCCCCACTATCCCCAGCCGCGCTGGGTCATGCCCGATGGAAGGGAAGCAGGGTGGTAGCCCAAGGTTGCTGCCTGCCCCGACCCATGCACAGGTCCCCCCTGCTCCCTGGGAGTACATGCAGCAGCAGGGAGCCGGCCGAACCCTCCCTTGGATGACCCATGCACAGCACCGTCCTCCTGCTCCCTGCTGGGGCCCTGCTGCCATGCATTGTGGCCCCAGGCCCCAAGCCCCTGCCCAGCTCCCTCCCTCCCTACAGGGGCCTCAATCCCCCTCTCTCCCCCACTTACCCAGTGGAGCTGTTCTGCAGGCTGCCTGGGGCCACATGCATGTCCATGCACGTGGTGCCTCGTGCCTGACCACCCTCCTCCTGCTCCCTCCCAGCTCCCTGCAGGCTGGAACTCCACCAGCCTGCAGGGAGTTCATTGTAAAATGGCAAAATCTGTGGGTTTCTCTTGTAAAACGAGAAATCCGCGTTTGCCTCTGATAAAAGGTAAAATCCACAGTTTATTCCATTTTTCCATTGGAAACAAAAAACCCGAATCCCCGATCATAACATTATTTCAGTAATATGTAGGCATTCTTGTTCTGGTATTATTTCTCAGGCTCATAGGGGTTAGGTAGCTGTGTCAAGCACTAGCTGTTCATGCTGTTAACAGCAACCATCAGCCAGAATTTTCCACATACTGACAGACAGTGACCTACTATAGGTTTTTTGCACAAGGACAGATAACTGTATAACGTTCAAGACACTGGAGAATCAGGCTTTGTCTAGTCTGTTTTATTAAAAGCTAGGCTTATTCACAACCACTATCTGAAACATGGTGAAGATGTCACCTTCAGGGCCCACTTACCAATAATTGTAGTTGCACTTTTGTCCATAATATACAGGTTTCTAATGTCTCTCTCTTACCTCCATGTTTGATTTAGCTACTTCATCCAGCGCTAAGACATGTCTGGCTCAAAATGCTGGTCTGGTGTCCACAGAAAACCACAGTCCTTGATTGTGTCACATTCTCAGTAGTGATGACTGGGGAGAAGAACAGAGTGAAAAGTGCAGGAGGGATGATGGAACATGTGGAACAAACTGGTATGCCTGGGACCAAGCCTTAACTGTTGCTGGCTACCCTGCATGCCTCACAGTGCAGCATGATTAGGATCAGGAGGAAGAAACTTTGGGCATCTTGCTTTTGCATCGTGACCTGCTTTTTCCTTCTTGTGACACTCCAGGTACCTTTTGTACTCAGTTTGGGTAACTGAAGAATTATGGTATGGGAAGGGAGGAGGAGATAAGGGACATGTATGACTGCTCAAAATGTTACTTGACTGAAGCAGGACAAAGCAGTTGTTTAAGGCATGGAATATTTTCATTAATAAGCAGTATATTAAGGCAAACCTGCATAAATAAAATCTACTGATTGGGAATGTCTACACAAGATGCTTAATGCTCAGTAACCTAATTCTACTTTGTGTTAGCATGTCACATCAAAAGCTGTGCTAATGTGGTAATGTGCAGTAGAGTGAGTCCACTGTGCATTGTGTCACAAAAAGACTGTGCGCTTTTGCTACTGTACAGTAGTGCCAGCTACTGCACATTTGTGTAGTACCTCATATTAGAGGTACTAAACTTAATGTGCAGTAGCAAAGGCACATTAATGTATGCATAGACAAGCCCATTGTGTACTTCAGTGAGAGTACAGGGCTAGAGGCAATAGGTAAAATAAATTAATACCTGTAAGCCATATTGTATCATTATTAAAAAGAAGAAAGAAGAAACAAACCCAGTAGCATTCCAGACCAATGACATTTTGAGGCAGTTTTAACACTTTCATAGAATTATAGAAAAGTAGAGCTAGAAGGGACCACAGGAGGCCACCTAGTTCAACCCCCTGCTCAAGGCAGGATCATCCTTATCTAACCATCGTAGACAAGTGTTTATCTAATCTGTTCTTAAAGGTTCACAAACAGCCCTCTTACACAACCATCAGGCAGAATGCCTGAAAACATCAAAAACACCTTAACTTACCACAGGTAAAGCAGGGGGACGAGGGTACCATTAGTGGTCAGCCAAGGACATAACTAGTTGTTAAAATTAGCTGAAGAGATCCAAGGAAGAAGAGCATACCCTCTGTTATAGAGGAAGGCAAAAACCCCACAGTCCATGCCAGTCTGCCAATGGGGTAATATTCCTCTCTCATCCCAACTGTGGCAAATGATCTGATTTTGAGCAGAAGAGCAAGACTCTCTAGCTAGGAACCTTTGCATTTTTTTTTTAATTGCAGGAGCATCGGTACACCCACTCAAAATCTTCAGCTGTGGTGGCAGCCTCTACCCGGTGCTTCTGAGGATAAGTATTGTAAAAAAAAATCCTTCCTTGTCCCTGTTGTAACCAGCAAAGCAAACTTAGAAGCATGGGAAAACCAAATACCCCCAGTGACAAGCTGCAGAATCTGGACAAGTCCCATTGTGCGGTTAAAAGAGTTGTGAGAGAGTTCTCAAGAGCATGGTCTCCCATCTCTTTCAGCATCACCTCATTACTGTCGGTGGAGAACCCTTGGAAAACGTTGAGCATTTCCCATACCTTGTCAGTGAAAATGTGAATAGGTAGAAATTAGAAAGACAATGATTTTTTGTATCCAGTAGATTTAGGAAGTGAAGTTCATAGGCTCATCTACGGAAGGTGTTTTGTAAAACCGTGGACTCAATATAGACATTGATTTTATGACACATTACAATCTGCTTGACATATGATTCACCAGGTGCCTGCCTGATCTGACCTCTTACATTCGTCTTTTTCCCCACCTTTTCTCCCCTCCCCTCCCCTACTTTTCTGCCCTTTGTCTCCCTGATTTCCTGCTATATCCTTCTTTATTGATAGCCTTTCTTATCCTGTATATTTCCTCTGTAATGTTTCCCTTTGGCCTTTCTTTTCCCCTGCTTTCTTCCCCCTCTCTCCCCTGCTTTACCTTTTGTTTTTCCTTTTTACCTATTTATATTTTCACTGCACCCTCTCACACTTTGAACTTCTCTCAATCCTGTTTTCCTGATTTCCAACTATTTTCTTTTTCACTGACAGCCTCCTTTCTACCTTGCATTCTATCACTGTAATGTCTCCCTTCAGCCTTTTTTATTCTTTTCCCCTGCTCTCTTCCCCTCCCCCCTCCCCCCTTTGCTTTACCTTTCTGCTTCACCTTCTGTCTTTCTAATTCTACCTATTTACATTTTCACTGACATCCTGCCACACTGTTAGCTTCTTTCATTTCGTGGAGTCTCAGAACAGCAGATACTCCCCATGCCTGAAGAAGGGTGACTGCACCTGAAAGCTTGCCAAGGACTTTTTTCCAACTATTCAGTTGGTCTAGTAAAAGATATCACATCTACCCAAAGAACCTTGCCTTCCATACCTATCCCAGTCAGTCAGTCTTGATGTAGAAATCAACCATAGGATTCGCTATGCCAGCATATCCTTTGGAAAGCTGTTTCGCCATGTCTTTGCTGACTGAAATCTGCAGATGGAAACTAAGATCCTGGTCTACAGTGCAATAGTTACTCCCATGCTTTTCTATGGGTATCAGAGGTGGGAGACATATCAAAACCATCTTAGGCACCTGGAATGGTTCCATCAACATTGTCTCAGGAAGATCCTTCGGATTAGATGGAAAGACCACTGCACCAATGCCAGCATCCTCTCAGTAGGTAACATAATTAGCACTGAGGCAAGGATCATGAAACACAACCTTCGCTGGGCTGGCCCCTGTGTGCAAATGGCTGACACTCATCTCCTGAAGCAAGTCCTCTTCTCTCAACTTAATCATGGTAAGAGGAACCGCAAAGGACAGAGGAAGCACTACAAGGACACCCTTAAAGCATCCCTTAAAAAGAGTGGGATGAACCCTACAAACTGGGAAGTGCTGGCTGCTAACAGGTCTCAGTAGCACCGCACCATACATCAAGCTACAGCCCACTTTGAAGAGAACAGTCTTGCTCAGGAAGCCGAAAAATGGCAGAGGAGGAAGGAAAGTGCACAACATCCTGGCCAACAGTTGTGCCCTACCCAAGGCACCACTTGTCATATTTGTGGAAAAAAATTTAAATCACAGATTTGGATTCCTCAGCCCCCTACTAATCCCCGCCACCAGCAGACATCATCCTCATATCAAGGAATAGCAGCTATATCTAGTTCAGTCCTAGCATAATGTCACAAAACTCTCACTCCTAGCTATGTGAACCTGCCACCATTCTGTGTTAAATTGTAGTCTGTTATGTCTCATGGGTGAGGTAGGTCAGGCAGGCTGACCACCAAGGAAAACCCAGAAGCTGCAGTGATTGGGAATAGAGACTCAGGAGGAATATGTCTACATGACCTCTGTGCTAGCTGCAGGGGCACCACTATAAGGCAAGCCCTCCTAGTCCACACACTGAGTCTCCAAATGAGGTAATATAGGCATCTTAGTGTGGCTCTACACATGCACCCAACATCTCTCAGGTTCTCTGTACTGGACATGCTTTTGGGTATACTCTCAGGTCTGCTCTAAGGTGACTGCATTGCCTCATTTCCAGGGCTTGGCATGTGCTGAGCAGGAGCAAGTTGGGTGTGTGTGTGAGCTTGTCAGTAGTGCTGGCCATGTAGATATGCCTTAAGTGGTCTTCTTCCTCCTCAGCTGGTACTTTGGGGGCAGCTGCTTCTCCTTCCCATTAGAGGTTAGGCTTAATTTTCTCTAGGGTATCCTACTTTGACCAAAATTGTTCTCTTGTCCCTCCATCTCTAAAGTCTGAGCCATGACTTAGTTCAGGGGTGTCCAACTGGCAAGTGGTTCAGCTGCAGCCCACAGGGCTTGTTGGCATGGCTCCGGAAGCCAGGAGGTAAACACTGCTGCTGCTTGCCTCCACCCCCACCAATATCCTTTCTTTATGACTGGTGACTAAAATTAGCAGCTGGAGAAAAGGGGGCAATACAGGTTTCCCTTGATTTATGTGGGTTCTTTATATACGAGTTCGCTCTTATGTGATGAGCATATTTAGACCCATAATTTGTTATATGCGAGGTAAATTCACTGTTATGCAATCAGCATAGACGCCCCCCTGCCGAAGCAGGTAAGTCTGTGGGGGGAGGGGAAAGAGCCGTGGCCCCACTCACCCCAGCCCCGGCTGCAGTGGCCCCGGGAACGGCCAGTGCCAGCTGGCTGCAGCTGATGGGATGCACTGTCCCTCCGCACCTGGGCTCACCCCAGCTCCTGGGTTGCGCCGTGCCGTGGTGCAGGCAGCTGGTGTCGGCTGTTCCTGGGGCTGCTCCAGCACAGGCTGGGGTGAATGCCATGCCCTGTGCTGCCCAGGGCTCCACTTGTCCACACTCACCCCAGCCCGTGCTAGAGTAGCCCCGGGAACAGCCAACACCAGTTGCCTGCACCAGGGCATGACACAGCCCAGGAGCAGAGGTGAGTGGGGACAGGCAGAGCATGGTGTAGCCCAGTGGCTGCAGGCAACTGGTGTTGGCTGCTCCCAGGGCCACTGCAGCTGGAGCTGGGGTAAGTGCTTCTCTGTTGCCTCTGCTTTGCTGCCTCATGCAGCCCTGGGAGCGGCACCCCTCCCCCCACCCCTTCCCTAGTCCCAGCCTCACTCCCTCTCCCTCCCTCACCTCCATGGGAACCAATCCCTATTTGTTACATTGTAAAGTGGGATCGCTTTATGCAAATTCAATTTATGCATGGTTCTCCGGGAATGCATGTACAGCATAAATCGAGGGAAACCTGTATAGCATTCATCTCCTGGGTTCCAGACCTGCACCAACACAGTGGTTCTGGTAGCTGTGCCAATAAGCTGTCACCTCACTGGTGAAGGTGGGGCAAGAAGCCTTGTGGTTTGGATCCAGGCTGCAGGGCCAGGTGAATTGAAAAACCCCTGCTTTAGCTCATTCCCATATTGTGGCAGTGAGTGCAGCTGAACCAGTATGGAGGCATCTGCTGCTGGATCAGCCCTTATTTAATAGATAGCAACAATTAGTTAATTTAAGTCCATTGTGGCTGTGGTTACCTTCTTCAAAGGCTGTCATCTCAACAGAACTCCTCCACTAAGCAGGTTCAGATCTGTCCAGAAGTTGAATTGTATAATCATAGACAACAGTTATTAAAAACAAACAAACCCAAATGGAAAAACAACAGTTAAACCTTCCAGCCCTTTTCCCTGCCAACAAGAGATTGTTCTTGCATCCTGTAACACATCTGAGTTTTGTATAGCTTCTTACATAGAATATCCCACTCTTCAGTGAGTCAGAGTCAAACAGTGCAGTTTACAAAGTTAAAATGACAGCATTTTATTTCACAGTGCATACGAAAGTATATGAGGCTGTTGGGAAATGAATACTAAAAAATGGCATTGATCAGCACAATGTAAGCCACCCAAGCCTTTCAGATATTCTCCTTCATAGCCACCCCATTTGGCTCTTGGGGTATAAACAGATGCTGTAATTTGGAGCAGTTTTTGGTGTACCGGGATGCCTTGTTACAACTGATCCATTTCATTGGTGTCAACAGACGTTGCCTAAGGCTGTTGTCCCATAGGGTTGGCTCCCTACTGCCCCTAAGGCTTTGGGGGCTTGATCCTGTGGGACAACAGCCCTGGGTGTTGTTCTCCAACCCAGGGTGTGAGTTTGCAAGTGGATGAACCCCCATGGGGGCTCCCTTGCTTGCAGACATGTGCCTTTGGAGTGTGGCAACCAGATATGCACCCTGTGGGAATCTCCTGCAGGGAGTTCCTGTGGTGCACAATAAGCGAACGGATTTTCTCTTCTATAAAGCATCACAAACTGTGACTATCTTTAGTCATGTCAACATTTTTCATAGGTAGAGCATGACAAGGGGCTAGGATGTCTGTTTGCTTGCAACTTGTGCTACCACAAACATTCTTGCTAGAGCTGTGTGCAGAGCGTCCTAGCTCCAACTCTGATTAACATAACTTCTCGCATTGGAGATGTTAAGAGCAGTGTACAAGAGGTCATATACAGCAAGGTTTATATGTCCTGCATACCCCAGGAATGGGGCTGAGTACCATCCCCTGGCAGTTCTAACTGATCTGTTAACTCTTTTCATGTATGCAGACATCATTTTTAAAAGATCCCTCCTGTAACTAGTAGGACTCATTTAGAAAAATAGGCTGTCTGTCTTCTATTCTGTCTTTCTTCAGCAGACTGAAAATACATTTGAAGCTATTGGTGCCCTGGCTGTATTTCAACCTGAGTAATTTACCCTTTGTATATCCATATTCCCATAACAGTTCAAGTTGATGCCTAAGCTGAGGCAGCTGTGCAGTGTTGCTTACTATTACTAAGCAGCTGCTGTCAACTGTTTTAAGAGCTGGCAAAATTTCACTGACAGAAACCTTACACAAGGTTAATAAGTTTTAATTAGTATTTCATAGGCAAAACTGTACATCCCTGATAATGGAGCTTAGGCTGTATGTGTATCTGTTTTTTTCACAGGTGGTAGTTGAATTGGGCAAATCAGAAAGGAAGGAAATAATTCTCTCCAGCTTGCAAGATGGCCCATTAAAACTGGAGGAACAGAAGAAACAGGCTTATCAGTTCTTGAAGAAACAGGAACTCTTTAGTGATGTGAAGACAGCCGTGGCTGTAGACCAATATCCTATTCTGCTGTGGTGGTCCCCTCTGACTGGAGAGACAGGGAGGCTAGGGGAGTGTGGAGAGGATCTTTGCTTCTTTACCATCAATAGGACCTACCAGCATAATCACATGACAAGAGCATTTCTGTTCTATGGTAAGGAGCTCGTTCATTTTAAATGACTGATTTCTACCCTGCATCCCATTCCCCATTTCTCTCTCATAGATCGCTGTAAACATCCATGGTAAAATTTTGATGATCTACCTGGTAGTACATATCCTCAGCAGAAGTCTGTGATCACACATAAGGCATAGCTCTACTCTGAAACCTGGCTTTCTTTTGGAAAAGCAGTGTGAAATTAGTTGTGCCTTTTGATGGTTCCCAGCTCACATGCACTCACGGTACAAGAGAAGTGATAATTTACCAACTGCCCGACCTGAAAAAGCCAGTTCAAGATCTCCATGTCAAGCTGGTCTCTGTCATTTCCTTGCATCACTACCTGGGATAACGGCTGTGCATGGCCTCTGTGACATTTGTAAAAACCCTTTTATCTTAAAATCAGGGCTGTCCAGCTTCTGAACAGCTGGGGGCCACATGCTGCAGGGCTACACACTGCATGGGCCACAGAACCGAGGTTCACACACTGGCAGATGACCACCTAGTTCTCCCCTACCACATGCATTGTCCAGTGTCCCCCACTACCACATACATATGACAGACACCTTGACTCGCCCTTGTTGCACATGCATCACCCTTTCACCCCCCTGGTGTAGCTGTACACATCACCCATCAGCAACATGGGCAGCCTGGCTCCCTTTTTTGCCATGTGAGCAGCTTGGGCACCCCAGCCCCTTCCCAGCCACTGGGGCAGAAACAACTGGGTGCGGGGAAGGGGAGTGGCAGCCAGGTGGGATCCAATGGGTTGCATGTAGCCTGGAGATGCCAGTTGGACAGCTCTGCCTTAAAACTGTGCCCTTACTGGTAGCTGATTACATTGCGTTGCCTTTTGGGGCAACAGTAGCATATCTACTAGACAGGCTCAACAGTAGCTGACTTCGACAGGTTTGCAAAGTGGGCAGACAAAAACCTGATGACCTTCAATATAGAGAAATGCAAAGTGCTCCACCTTGGGAGAAAGAACCCACACTATACCTATAGGCTTGGCGGTGCTTCACTCACTAGCACTATGTCCGAAAAAGACTTGGGGGTCATGATTGACCACAAGGTGCATATGAGCCTCCAATGCGATGCCGCAGCCAGCGAAACAAATAAAACCCTGGTTTGCATCTACCGATGCATCTCAAGCAAGACTCAAGATATCATCATCATCTGGAGTACTGCATCCAGTTCTGGGCTCCACACTTTAAAAAGGATGTGGAGAGGCTCGAGAGAGGCCAGAGGAGAGCCACACACATGATCGGAGGTCAAGTGAGCAGGCCTTATGAGGTGAGGCTGAGAGACACAGGACTCTAAAGCTTGGAAAAGTGTAGGCTCAGAGGGGACTTGGTGGCAGCCTATAAATACATCAGGGGTGTACATCAGGACCTGGGAGAACATCTGTTCACCAGGGAACCTAAAGGAAGACAAGGTCCAATGGTCACAAACTGCTGGAAGACCATTTTAGACTGGACATAAGGAAAAACTTCTTTACTGTCCAAGTGTCCAGAGTCTGGAATAGACTCCCCCCCAGAAATGGTGCAAGCACCTACTCTGTATATGTTCAAGTTGTGTTTGGGTGCTTATCTTGCTGGGGTCATCTGACCCCAGCTGACTTCCTGCCCCTTGGGCAGGGGGCTGGACCCAATGATCTTGTGAGGTCCCTTTTAGCCCTAATGTCTATAAAATCTACTAAATCTAAGGCAGAGTGAGTGGGGCATTAGGCCCAGGGGCCCCTATGAAGAGGCACCAGAATCCCCCCCACCAGAGGCATGTCCAGACGAGCATGCACATGCATTTCCCTGGGGACAAACAGCAGCGGCACATATTTGTGCTGCTGCTAGTAGTCCCTGTGGAATGCCCCTGCATGCATGCTCTGGCATGGGGCAGATTGACCCAGGTGGGATAGGGGAGTTTGGGGCCAGCACCTTGACTGGCCCCAGCAGCCTTACCTGGGATCCTGGGGTCCTTCTGGGGCTGCAGCAGCGGTAATCTTGGGCACAAGTAGCCTGGCTGGCAGCTGGAGTGTGGCTCTGGCTGGTCAGGCTCCAGTCAGTGCGTGCTGCTGCCATGTGTGCCACCCTGCTTTTTTCATCGTGCTATTTTTTTTTTATACTGGGATTTCCTGGTATCTGAGTTTGGCTGTATGCTGCATATTTGCAGTGTGGAGAACCAAATCATATATGCAGGGTGTATTTTGTGGCACCTCAAAAGCCTTTGAGGCACCACAAAGTGCACGTGTTTGCTCATGTGTGCTCGTGTGGACATGCCCTGGGAGTCTTTGTCATGGCAGGGGTAACCCTGCACTGTCCCTTCCCGGCCATAGGAGCTGGGCAGAGCTGCATTGCACCCAGCAGTGTGTCTGGGGATAAAGGGGAGTGCAGAATGGTGCCCCCCCACCCCAGGGACCTTTTGACTGAGCAGGCTCAGCCTTGTACCCAGTATATATGTTTCAGGGGTGGGGAGGAATGAACGGGTCACCAAAGTCAGTTTACAGGGAGCCCAGCCAGTGCTGCTGCCATCAGAGTGGAGCTGATGCTGCTATAGCAAACAATTCTACGGATGATAAATGAAGCATAGATTCCACCTCACTCCTGAGCTGTGCTCTCTCTGCAGAAATAGCATGAAAAGAGCAGCAATAACAATTGGCACCAGCCTGAACAGGTATAGATGCACTTGTCTTGGTATAAGGGTGATATTATTTTATGTCACTGCTTTTCAAATAACTTATTTTTAATAAAGTAGAACAAGTTTTTATCCCCTGGTTGATAGGCTCCTCTCAGTTATTGTATCTGAAAAATGATTCCACAGTCCCATACCTTGCTTAATTATCTTTGGGTGTATGTGAATGGGAAACATGGGAAACAAATGCCTTTAGATAATAAGCAGCATTTAACACTGAATTGCATATTTCTTGCTTTTTCCATTTTGTGAGTTCCAAATACTACCACATTCTAGAGCGTAAGTAGGCCAATTTAGCTTATTGGTAGGATAGTAGCCAAGCATGAATAGGAAGAAAGAATAGCAAAAGGAATGAAAGACTGACCCAAATTTAAGAAAAAGAAAACCAAGGCGTACATTGTATGTGGCCTATAAAATCTTGTATTTTTGGACTGTAAAAATACAAGATTTTTATTGTATTGCACTGTTATTTGTGAAGCCCGGCTATTACTAAAAGACAAATGTTAATTTTTACCAAGCTTGTGGAAATGCTTAATTTACTACATTTTCCACGGAATTTCTGCATTAGCAGAAAGACCCTTCAAGTACCATTTTTTGATGATGATGATGATGATGTCCATGCACATTTTGAAATCTTTTTGTAAGGCAAGGTCCCAAAATGTTAATTTTTAAAATGGTAGTGAACGGTTTATCAGTCCCCATAAAAGCAGAACCCAGACTCGTGGATTATGTTAAAAGCAAATTATTACTATAGTGCTGCTATGTATTTAAATATAATATAACAAGATAATGTGGGAATGCATACAGTAGAGTATTAGCATAACTATGTATGTACTAGGTAGACTTCTCATAAGGGCAGCTTGCTCCTTGAGTGTGCAGTTTACATTTCTGTAAGGTTTGATTTTCTCTTGTGGGTAAAAATCTGGCTGCTTGGCTTTCTGTGCTATCAAATGCTGAGAAAAGTGTACCTTCGGGAAACCAGTTACAGGCCAGGAGATGTCTAGTCTCTTTTTTAAAAGAAAGTATATTAAGGAAAAGAAAAAAGAGAGCATGTTCCTATGGAATTGCTTTGCTGGCTGCTCTTGTTTTTAAGGTGGGTTGTCCACACTCCAAAGCTGAAAATCCTTGTGGTAACTTTAAAGACAAAGGAATTGGTGACTTGTATCCTCTCTTCTTTAAAAGTGTCACGAAAGAATCCCACTCCCCTCAGAGTTCAGGATTTTGTCTGAAGGTAAAGCATTGCTCTCTCTGGTGGATTTTAGTCCTATCATTTGGTTGATTTCTGTGCAGCATCTTTTAAAACATTGGAATAACATTTATAGAGAGATCCTGCTTCCTATATATATTCAGAAAACAAATCATAAAGTTCTCAAGGTGACAGACACTGATATGAACCTCTTGTTATATATGGGTGCTTAACTATTAAAGCCAATATTAAGTCAGGCTAGTGTCCAGTAGGCCTGTGCGAACTGGCTACTATTCAATTCGGATTTGGATTTGGCCGATTCAGGGGACAGTGATTCAATTCAGTGCTTCGAATCACTGTCCCAAATTGATTCAGATGAATCTGATTCAGAGATTTGGGGCTGCTGCCGAATCGGCGGAATCTCCGAATCACACAGGCCCCATCCCCTGCCCGCTCTCAATGTCTGCTCCAGCCGCCCCAGCTCCTGGCTCTGAAAAAAAAAGTCCCCATTCACCAGTTGCTACCAGGCGGGGGGGCGATCCCTGCTGCCCCATGCCACGTGGGGGGCTCTGCCATGAGCCTCCTGACCCCTGCCTGCTCCCCCCCACCCACCATGGCTGCCCCGCCCCAGCTCCCAGACCTTTGAAAAAAAAACAACACAAAAAAAGCCCCGACTCACTGGGTGCTGCCTGGCGAGGGAGCAATCCCCACTGCCCCCCCCTGCCCAGCACTGTGTGGGGGGCTCTGCCACGAGCCCCCAGAAGCCCTGATGCCACTGCAGCAGCGGTGAGTGCAGGATGGGGGGGTGTTTTTTTTTCTTAAAGGTCCAGGAGCTGGGGCGGGTGGGGCAGCCATGG